AGCCTGTTGGTCCAATAGAACAGTTTAACCAACTCGCGTGTTGGTCCAGTGGACCGGTTGGACCAATTGGCCTGTTGGTGCAATGGACCGGTTGGAACAACTGGCCTGTTGGTCCAATGGACTGGTTGGAACAACTGGCCTGTTGGTCCAGTGGACCGGTTGGACCAACTGGCCTGTTGGTCCAATGGGGCGGTTGGACCAGCTAGCCTGTTGGTCCAATAGAACAATTGGACCAACTAGCGTGTTGGTCTAGTTGACCGGTTGGACCAACTGGCCTGTTGGTCCAATGGACCGGTTGGACCAACTGGCCTGTTGGTCCAATGGACCGGTTGGAACAACTGGCCTGATGGTCCAGTGGACCGGTTGGACCAACTGGCCTGTTGGTCAAATGGACCGTTTGGACCAACTGGCCTGTTGGTCCAGTGGACCGGTTGGACCAACTGGCCTGATGGTCCAATGGACCGGCTGGACGAACTGGCCTGTTGGTCCAAAGGACCGGTTGGACGAACTGGCCTGTTGGTCCAATGGACCGGCTGGACCAACTGGCCTGATGGCACAATGGACCGGCTGGACCAACTAACCTGTTGGTCTAATGGACCAGTTGGACCAACTGGCCTGTTGGTTCAATGGACCGGTTGGACCAACTGGCCTGTTGGTCCAATGGACCGGTTGGACCAACTGGCCTGTTGGTCCAATGGACTGGTTGGACCAACTAGCCTGTTGGTCCACTGGACTGTTTGAACCAACTGGCCTGTTGGCCAGTGGACTGGTTGGACCAACTGGCCTGTTGGTCCAATGGGCGCGTTGGACCAACTGGCCTGTTGGTCAAGTGGACCAATTGAACCAACTGGCCTGTTGGTCCAATGGACCAGTTGGACAAACTGGCGTATTGGTCCAATGCCGGCTGGACCAACTGGCGTGTTGGTCCGCTGGCCAGGTTGGACCAATTGGCCAGTTGGTCCAATGGACCGGTTGGACCATTTTGCCTGTTGGTCCACTGGACCGGTTGGACCAACTAGAATGTTGGTCCAATGGACCGGTTGGACCAACTGGACTGTTGGTCCAGTGGCCCGGTTGGACCAACTGGCGTGTTGGTCCAATGCCGGTTGGACGAACTGGCGTGGTGGTCCGCTGGACAGGTTGGACCAACTAGCCTGTTGGTCCACCTGACCGGTTGGACCAACTGGCCTGTTGGTCCAGTGGACCGGTTGGACCAACTGGCCTATTGGTCCAATGGACCGGTTGGACCAATTGGCCTGTTGGTCCTGTGGACCGGTTGGACAAACTGGCCTGTTGGTCCAATGGACCAGTTGGACGAACTGGCCTGTTGGTCCAATGGACCGGTTGGATGAACTGGCCTGTTGGTCCATTGGACCGGTTGGACCAACTCGCCTGGCCCGGTTGGACCAACTTGCCTGTTGGTCCAATGGACCAGTTGGACCAACTCGCCTGTTGGTCCAATGGACCGGTTGGACCAACTGGCCTGTTGGTCCTATGGACCGGCTGGACAAACTGGCCTGATTGTCCAATGGACCGGTTGGACCAACTGGCCTGTTGGTCCTATGGACCGGCTGGACCAACTGGCCTGATTGTCCAATGGACCGGTTGGACCAGCTAGCTTGTTGGTCCAATGGACCGGTTGGACCAACTGGCTGGTTGGTCCAATGGACCGGTTGGACCAACTGGCCTGTTGGTCCGATGGACCCATTGGACGAACTGGCTTCTTGGTCCGATGGAACGGTTAAACCAACTGGCCTGTTGGTCCGATTGAACGGTTGGACCAACTGGCCTGTTGGCTCGATGAACCGGTTGGACCAACTTGCTTCTTGGTCCAGTGGACCGGTTGGACCAACTGGCTTGTTGGTCCGATGAACCGGTTGGACCAACTGGCCTGTTGGCCCGATGGACCGGTTGGACCAACTGGCTTGTTGGTCCAGTGGACCGGTTGGACCAACTGGCCTGTTGGTCCACTTGACCGGTTGGACTAACTAGCGTGTTGGTCCAGTGGACCGATTGGACCAACTGGCCTGTTGGTCCAATGGACCAGTTGGACCGACTTGCTTGTTGGTCCACTAGACCGATTGAACCAACTGGCCTATTGGTCCACTGGACCGATTGAACCAACTGGCCTGTTGGTCCCGTGGACCAGTTGGACAAACTGGCCTGTTGGTCAAATGGACTCGTTGAACCAACTGACCTGTTGGTCCAGTGGACCGGTTGGACCAACTGGCTAGTTGGTCCAGTGGACCGGTTGGACCAACTAACCTGTTGGTCCTATGGACCGGTTGGACCAACTAACCTGTTGGTCCTATGGACCGGTTGGACCAACTAACCTGTTGGTCCAGTGGACCGGCTGGACCAACTAACCTGTTGGTCCAATGGACCGGTTGGACCAACTGGCCTGTTGGTCCAATGGACCGGTTGGACCAACTGGACTGCCCATTGGACCAACTGACACTGTTGGTCCAGTGGACCGATAGGACCAACTGGCCTGTTGGTCCAATGGACCTATTGGACCAGCTGACTTGTTGGTCCAGTGGACCAATTGGACCAACTGGCCTGCTGGTCCAATGGACCGGTTGGACCAACTGGCCTGCTGGTCCATTGGAACGGTTGGACGAACTGGCCTGTTGGTCCAATGGACTGGTTGGACGAACTCGCCTGTTTGTCCAATGGACCGGTTGGACCAACTGGCCTGTTGGTCGGGTGGAAATGGTGGACGAACTTGCCTGTTGGTCCAATGGACCGGTTGGACCAACTCGCCTTTTGGTCCAATGGACCGGTTGGACCAACTCGTCTTTTGGTCCAATGGACCGGTTGGACCAACTGGCCTGTTGGTCCAATGGACCGGTTGGACCAACTGGCCTGCTGGTCCAATGGACCGGTAAGAGGAACTGGCCTGTTGGTCCAATGGACCGGTTGGACGAACTGGCCTGTTGGTCCAATGGACCAGTTGGACCAACTGGCTTGTTGGTCTAATGGAACTGTTGGACGAACTCGCCTGTTGGTCCAATGGACCGATTGGACCAACTGGCCTGTTGGTCCAGTGGACAAGTTGGACGAACTTGCCTGTTGGTCCAATAGACCGGTTGGACGAATTGGCCTGTTGGTCCAATGGAGCGGTTGGACCAACTCGCCTGTTGGACCAATGGACCGGTTGGACCAACTTGCCTGTTGGTCCAATGGCCCGGTTGGACCAACTTGCCTGTTGGTCCAATGGACCAATTGGACCAACTCGCCTGTTGGTCCTATGGACCGGTTGGACCAACTGGCCTGTTGGTCCAATGGACCGGTTGGACCAACTGGCCTGTTGGTCTTATGGACCGGCTGGACAAACTGGCCTGATTGTCCAATGGACCGGTTGGACCAACTGGCCTATTGGTCCAGTGGACCGGTTGGACCAACTAACCTGTTGGTCCAGTGGACCGGCTGGACCAACTAACCTGTTGGTCCAATGGACAGGTTGGACCAACTGGCCTGTTGGTCCAATGGACCGGTTGGACCAACTGGCCTGTTGGTCCTGTGGACCGGTTGGACCAACTAACCTGTTGGTCCAGTGGACCGGCTGGACCAACTAACCTGTTGGTCCAATGGACCGGTTGGACCAACAGGCCTGTTGGACCAATGGACCAGTTGGACCAACTGGCCTGCCCATTGGACCAACTGGCCTGTTGGTCGAGTGGACTGATAGGACCAACTGGTCTGTTGGTCCAATGGACCTATTGGACCAACTGGCCTGTTGGTCCAGTGGACCGATTGGACCAACTGGCCTGCTGGTCCAATGGACCGGTTGGACCAACTGGCCTGCTGGTCCAATGGACCGGTTGGACGAACTGGCATGTTGGTCCAATGGACCGGTTGGACGAACTGGCCAGTTGGTCCAATGGACCGGTTGGACCAACTGGCCTGTTGGTCTAATGGAACTGGTGGACGAACTCGCCTGTTGGTCCAATGGACCGGTTGGACAAACTGGCCTGTTGGTCCATTGGACAAGTTGGACCAACTTGCCTGTTGGTCCAATGGGCCAGTTGGAAGAACTGGACTGTTGGTCCAATGGACCGGTTGGACCAACTCGCCTGTTGGTCCAATGGACCGGTTGGACCAACTGGCCTGTTGGTCCAATGGACCGGTTGGACCAACTGGCCTGCTGGTCCAATGGACCGGTTGGACGAACTGGCCTGTTGGTCCAATGGACCGGTTGGACGAACTTGCCTGTTGGTCCAATGGACGGGTTGGACCAACTGGCCTGTTGGTCTAATGGAATTGTTGGACGAACTCGCCTGTTGGTCCAATGGACCGGTTGGACCAACTGGCCTGTTGGTCCAGTGGACAAGTTGGACGAACTTTGTCACCGCATATGCACCTAATGCCTATGCAATAACAGTAGGATGATGGTGTAAGGGGGACTTGTAGTGGCTGTTATGGGAACATTAGCTAGTTATAAGAGTATTAGTTAGGAATCAGTTGTAGGTGTAGAACGTAAGAAATTTATTGTTAGGGAGGGGTGTAGAAAGGGGGAAATTGGATGAGAGCGGTTGGGATTGCGAGGGAAAAGGCACCGAAGGGCGAAATAGGAAGCCAAGCAGTCCCAACCCCGAGCCGCACTTTTGGGAATGTGCAGCTTGGGGTTGGGTAAGGGCAGTCACAGCCAACCCCTCGATGCTTTCGTGCTGTTATTCTCTCATATTAGTGGAAAGCTATTACCTCTGATCTAGCATCCGGTGGCACGCCACTAGGGGAGGACCTACGGGGTGAGGGAGGAAACTCGTTCATAACAGCACGAAAGCCCATCGAGCGGTTCGAGCAAATAGCATAGAATGGACTGCCACGAGCTGCACTGGCAGCGGACAGACTCGCGACGGGAAATCTTGCCGTCGCGGAGGATGCGCTCACGGGAGCATGGGAGATCACTTGCGCGTTCGCCACAGAGGGCGGCGTACGGCGCGGATTTGGTGACGCCCGTCGGTGGGCGAGCTGAAGATGTCAGGTCGGAGCCCAGGATGGGCAGTGACCCGCGGATTCTGGCAGGAGGCCAGCGCGGAACGGGTGTAAGGCGTCGCGACGGTGTGGACGGGGTAGATTCTTCCGATTCGGCAAGCGAGGCTGACGGCGCGGAAGAAGCAGACGGCGCGGAAGAAGCAGACGGCGCGGAAGAAGCAGACTGCGCGGAAGAAGCAGACGGCGCGGAAGAAGCAGACGGCGCGGAAGAAGCGGACAGCGCGGAAGGAGCAGATGGCGCGGAAGAAGCAAACGGCGCGGAAGAAGCAGACGGCGCGGAAGAAGCAGACGGCGCGGAAGAAGCGGATGGCGCGGAAGGAGCAGACGGCGCGGAAGAAGCGGATGGCGCGGAAGAAGCAGACGGCGCGGAAGAAGCGGATGGCGCGGAAGAAGCAGACGGCGCCATCCCGATGGCGCGGGATGGTGAGAGGGAGGAAGTGGCGGAAGAAGGGCGCGACGGAGAGAGCAAGGATGCGGGAGGAAATTGCTCGCCGGTAAGGATGCGCGGAGGCGGCGCGAAGCGTCACGGGAACATGACGACAGGGCGTTCGCCGGAAGACATGCGCAGGGGAAGCGTGAGGCGCTGCGGGAGCACGGATGCAAACGGATTGGCAGACGAAGGGCGTGAAGAGGGCGCGAGGCACCGCGGGGGCGCAAATGCAGACGGGTTGGCAGACGAAGGGCGCGGGGGCGCGGATGCAGATGGTACGGTGGACGAAATAGGTGGAAACAGCGTGAGGCACTGCGGAGGCAAGGATGCAGGTCGCTCGGCAGACGAAATGCGAGGTGGCAGCGCAAGGCGCCGCGGGAGAGCGGATGCAGACAGCTCGCCAGAACGGATGCGCGGGAGTGGCGGGAGGCGCCAAGGGAACATGGCGGCAGATCGTTCGCCAGAGGAGGTGCGCGAGGGAGATGCGAGGCGCCGCGGAACCGCAGCGGCAGGTCGCTCGCCGGACGATCTTCGGGAGGACAGCAGGAAAAACCATGCGCCAACGGGACGGTACAGCTCGCCTGAGCTGCGAGGACGTGGGAGGAGACGCGTGGCGATGGCCGCGCGGCGATCGCCAGAGGTGCGGAGGGAGCAGTATGAGCGAGGGAGAGTGGCAGGTCAACGGGGGCCTGCTGTTTGGGGGAGAGAGAGAGAGAGAGAGAGAGAGTTGAGGAGCAACGTGGGCGACGGGAGAGTAAGCCAGAGGAAGAACGGGGCAGACGAGCAGGTCCGGACGGGGAGCGAGGGGATTGTGAGGAAAGAGATGGGTGGTGCTCACCAGAGAGAGGAGGGGGGCGTGAGGAGGGACGCATCAGGGAGGGTGCACGACGATCGCTGGGCGCAACAAGGGCAGAAGAAAGGGGGAGAGGGAACCGACGACGGCGGGAAGATGTGGAGCGAGAAAGGCGGTATCAGGAGCACTCGCATGATGGGAAGGAAAGGCGGTGCGACGGAGCAGAGAAGTGGAGAGTGGCTTACGAGAGAGAGCGAGGAAGGAGTCCGAGTACAAGGGGCCCGAGGGGGCGATGGCAATCAGGAGGAGGAGGATCTGAAGGAGCCAGAGCGGCCAGAGAGGGGACAGAACGGGCGCTGTATGGGGCAAGCTCGGGCAGCAGGGGAACAAGGAAAAGGGGTGAAGAGAAGCAGAGTAGGCGACGGGAAATGATGCTTGCGCATGAAACGGAGAGTGAGGACGAAGGAGAGTGTGACGGACCTACGCGCCACAGGTCGGGCCGAAGGGAGGGGCGTTGGAAAGAACATTCCCCGGAGAAGAGGGAGAGACCAGGGTGGGGATCGGAGAGATATGGGGAGGCTCAAGAGAGAGAGGGGGGAAGGAGCATAGGTCCGATGTGGCGGAGAAGGCGGCAGCAGTCATGGGTAGGCGCTACAGGGGCAAGGGCAGCCAGGGAAGGAAGTGGTCGAGTGCTGTATGGGACAGAGTCAAGAAGCAGAGAGTTGAGGGAGAGGAGAGGAGAGAGTAGCAGGAGGAATGAGAGCTCAGGGACTTGGGAGACAGGGAGGTGGAGTGCGCAGGCCCCACCTCAGGTAGAGGTGCCAGTGCGCTTTACGGGGGGAGCAGGGTCAGACACAAACCTGAAGAATTACCTGATGCAAATCGGTAATGTGAAGTACCGCTGCGACAGGAGTGGGATGGACCCGATAGAGTTTTTCTTGAGCCTACCGAACACGCTGGGAGGCGAAGCTGAGACGCTATATCGTATGAAGATGAAGGAATGGCTGAGGAGGGCAGAGGAGGAGGATGAGGACCCAACCACTCTGTTCCTAGAGCGGCTGCGGAAGCAGTTTCCAGGGCACACGGCGGAGAGGGTGAGAGAATTTCAGGAATTCCAGCGAGGGAGGGCCGAGTCACTGCTCACCTACTACGGTAGGTTGACGGATCTGGCGGAAGACGTGGTGTGCACAGATGGCAGCATGCTTATAAGCAAGTTCCTGGGGGGTCTGGATGAGGGATTGAGCGGCGGGCTGAGAATGAGAGTGTATGAGTTGGGAGCTGAAGCAACGCTGGAGGAGGTGTTTGAGTTGGCAGAGAGAGTGGAGCTGGCGCAGAGGCGGTATGAGGCGTACCTGCCGAGGGTGTTAGAGTAAGGGCGGCCCAGGTGGGCTGCAGCGATGATAACCGAGGACGGGGGTGGGGAGGAGCAGTGGCAAGAGAGGCGAGCAGAAACACGGACGTGCCACAGGTGCGGGCAGGAGGGGCATATCAGGAGGGAGTGCAAGAAATGTGATGTGTGCGGAAAGCCTGGGCACCGACGGATGGACTGCCCTGATGCACCGAGCTGTGAGGTGTGTGGGAATCGGGCAAGAAACTGCTATGAGAAAGGAAGGGATGCAAGGAGATCACCCAAGGAGATCGAGGAACAGATCGAACAGTTACGAGCCCAACTGCAGGCACTGGGAGAAAGAACTCAGGGGCAAGTGGGGTTGTACGCGGAGGAGGAAGAGGGGCAGGAGCCAGAACACTCCGGTGCGGTGCTGCGTGGCCATGCAGACATGTGGCTGCGCAGTGGGGGCAGGGACATACGAAGGGAGCTAGTGAGTAAGGTGGGGACATGGGCGTGTATGTCAGTAACACCAGCAGCAGCGGGAGCAGAGGAGCAGGACGAGCAGGCGGGGGCAGGAGCGTGCGTACCAGCAGCAGCGGGAGCGGAGGAGTGGGATGAGCAGGTGGGGTCAGAAGCGTACGTACCAGCAGCAGCGGGAGCGGAGGAGCGGGATGAGCAGGTGGGGGCAGAAGCGTGCGTACCAGCAGCAGCAGGAGCGAAGGAGCGGGATGAGCAGGTGGGGGCAGAAGAGTGCGTCCCAGCAGCAGCAGGAGCGAAGGAGCGGGATGAGCAGGTGGGGGCAGAAGCGTGCGTGCCAGCAGCAGCGGGAGCGGAGGAGCGGGACGAGCAGGTGGGGGCAGAAGCGTGTGCATTAGCAGCGGCGGAAGCGGGAGGGAAGAACGAGAAGGTGGGGGCATGGTCGGGTGTAACAGTGGCAGCAGAAGCGGAAGGGAGGGAAGGGAAGGTGGGGGCACAGGCGGGCATGACAGCAGTAGCGGAAGCGGAAAGCAAGGCAGTGAAGGTGGGGGCACAGGCGTGCATGACATCAGTAGCGGAAGTGGAAAGCGGGGCAGTGAAGGTGGGGGCACAGGCGGGCATGACAGCAGTAGAGGAAGCGGAAAGCGGGGTAGTGAAGGTGGGGGCACAGGCGGGCATGACAGCAGTAGCAGAAGCGGAAAGCGGGGCAGTGAAGGTGGGGGCACAGGCGTGCATGACAGCAGTAGCGGAAGCGGAAAGCGGGGCAGTGAAGGTGGGGGCACAGGCGTGCAAACCAGAAGCAGCAGAAGCGGCAGGGAGGGAAGAGAAGGAGAGAGCACAGGCGTGCGCAGCAGCAGCGGAAACGGAAGAGGAAAGGAAAGAAGAGAAGCTGGGGGGCACAGGCGTGTGCAGTAGCAGCACCAGAAGAGGAAGGGAAAGAAGCGAGGTTGGGGGCACAGGCGTGTGCAGTAGCAGCAGCAGAAGAGGAAGGGAAAGACGAGAATTTGGGGGGCACAGGCGTGTGTAGTAGCAGCAGCAGAAGAGGAAGGGAAGGAGAGAAGTTGGGGCACAGGCGTGTGCAGCGGCAGCAGCAGAAGAGGAAAGGAAGGAAGAGACGTTGGGGACACAGACGTGTGCAGCAGCAGCAGCAGAAAAGGAAGGGAAAGAAGAGAATTTGGAGACACAGGCGTGTGGAGCAGCAGCAGAAGAAGAGGAAGGGAAGGAAGAGAAAGTAGGGGCACCTGAGTGTGTAGCAGCAGCAGCGGAGGCGGGAGTGGAGGATGAGGAGGGAGGATGGGCAGGGTGGACTGCAAAGGAAGGATCTAAGTGGACGGTGGGGGGGGGGCCAATGAGCGGGCAGGGGAGGGAGGTCACACTCGTGACACAGACAGTGGGAACAGGAGGGGTGGAGAATGGCGTGGCATTGGTAGAAACCAGGGCAAGGTACCTGAAGGAAGGACTGTCGGCAGCACGGGAGAACTTACAGACAGTGCAGCTGAGAGATGCACACAGGCCAGAGGAGCGGCTGCAGCAGGGCTGCACCAAGCACAAGGGCGGCAGAAGGAGTGAGACAGGAAGTCTACCCCTCGGGGGGACAGAAGGATACTCTGGAACAGGAAGTGGTGCTGGGCACACAGAGAAGGAGGGCGACGAATCTGAGGGGGCGGGAGTGCTGTGTCAGAGAGTGGGCGAAGAGAGAAGACAGGGGACCACCAATACTGCAGTGGTGAGAAGTACCCCGGCCTCAGCAAGAGTGTCCAGTGCCTCGTGCACGGGAGACCCGAGCACGAGCTCTGGAGGGGGCATGTGGTGGCTGAGGCAGAGAAGGGAAGGTATCACGGGAACAGGGCAGAGGGAAGAAGGGAGGGAGGATGAGTGCCGGGAGGAGAGGGCAGGCCATGGGAGGAAACAGAGGAGGGGGCAGTGGTACGAGTGAGGCATCTCCAAGAGGGTCCTGTGACACGAGCTCAAGCGGCTAGAGCACGAGCACAGAAGGGGGGGCAGCGGTTGAGTGAGGCTTCGCAACACGGAGAAGGAAGGAAGCAGAGAGACAGCAGGAGAAGAGCAGGTGCAGGAAGAAGAGCAGGAGCAGGGAGAAGAGTAGGTGCGAGGAGCAGAGCATGGGCTGGGAGAAGGAAGGTTCTCCGACAACTTGCCTGTTGGTCCAATGGACCGGTTGGACGAACTGGCCTGTTGGTCCAATGGAGCGGTTGGACCAACTCGCCTGTTGGTCCAATGGACCGGTTGGACCAACTGGCCTGTTGGTCCAATGGCCCGGTTGGACCAACTTGCCTGTTGGTCCAATGGACCAATTGGACCAATTCGCCTGCTGGTCCAATGGACCGGTTGGACCAACTGGCCTGTTGGTCCGATGGACCGGTTGGACCAACTGGCCTATTGGTCCTATGGACCGCGTGGACCAACTGGTCTGATTGTCCATTGGAGCGGTTGGACCAACTGGCCTGTTGGTCCAGTGGACCGATTGGACCAGCTGGTTTGTTGGTCCAATGGACCGGTTGGACCAACTGGCTGGTTGGTCCAATGGACCGGTTGGACCAACTGGCCTGTTGGTCCGATTGACCCATTGGACGAACTGGCTTCTTGGTCCGATGGAACGGTTAAACCAACTGGCCTGTTGGTCCGATGGAACGGTTGGACCAACTGGCCTGTTGGCCCGATGAACCGGTTGGACCAACTTGCTTCTTGGTCCAGTGGACCGGTTGGACCAACTGGCCTGTTGGTCCGATGAACCGGTTGGACCAACTGGCCTGTTGGCCCGATGGACCGGTTGGACCAACAGGCTTGTTGGTCCAGTGGACCGGTTGGACCAACTGGCCTGTTGGTTCAGTGAACCGATTGGACCAACTGGCCTGTTGGTCCAGTGGACCGGTTGGACCAACTGGCCTGTTGGTCCACTTGACCAGTTGGACTAACTAGCGTGTTGGTCCAGTGGACCGATTGGGCCAACTGGCCTGTTGGTCCAATGGACCAGTTGGACCGACTTGCTTGTTGGTCCACTAGACCGATTGAACCAACTGGCCTATTGGTCCACTGGACCGATTGAACCAACTGGCCTGTTGGTCCAGTGGACCAGTTGGACAAACTGGCCTGTTGGTCAAATGGACTCGTTGAACCAACTGACCTGTTGGTCCAGTGGACCGGTTGGACCAACTGGCTAGTTGGTCCAGTGGACCGGTTGGACCAACTAACATGTTGGTCCTATGGACCGGTTGGACCAACTAACCTGTTGGTCCAGTGGACCGGCTGGACCAACTAACCGGTTGGTCCAATGGACCGGTTGGACCAACTGGCCTGTTGGACCAATGGACAGGTTGGACCAACTGGCCTTCCCATTGGACCAACTGGCCTGTTGGTCCAGCGGACCGATAGGACCAACTGGCCTATTGGTCCAATGTACCTATTGGACCAACTGGCCTGTTGGTCCAGTGGACCGATTGGACCAACTGGCCTGCTGGTCCAATGGACCGGTTGGACCAACTGGCCTGCTGGTCCAATGGACCGGTTGGACGAACTGGCATGTTGGTCCAATGGACCGGTTGGACGAACTGGCCTGTTGGTCCAATGGACCGGTTGGACCAACTGACCTGTTGGTCTAATGGAACTGGTGGACGAACTCGCCTGTTGGTCCAATGGACCGGTTGGACCAACTGGCCTGTTGGTCCAGTGGACAAGTTGGACGAACTTGCCTGTTGGTCCAATGGGCCAGTTGGACGAACTAGACTGTTGGTCCAATGGACCGGTTGGACCAACTGGCCTGTTGGTCCAATGGACCGGTTGGACCAATTGGCCTGTTGGTCCAATGGACCGGTTCGACCAACTGGCCTGTTGGTCAAATGGACCGGTTGGACCAACTGGCTTCTTGGTCCAGTGGACCGGTTGGACCAACTGGCCTGCCCATTGGACCAACTGGCCTGTTGGTCCAGTGGACCGGTTGGACCAACTGGCCTGTTGGTCCAATGGACCGGTTGGACCAACTAGCTTGTTGGTCCAGTGGACCGATTGGACCAACTGGCCTGCCCATTGGACCAACTGGCCTGTTGTGTTATAGTCACAATAGGCTTGAATGTGCCTAAAACGAAAGATAGAGAGCACAGACGGATTTCTGCACAGCGGCTTCAAACGTTGATAGCGTTCTGCTCACAGCTGCAAATGACTTGATTCAAATTGGATCTGGAGCGTCTTCACGTCGTCTACAATTAGCAATTTGGATTGCACGATTTAATAAGGAATTGACGACACAGCGTCGGTTTGAACGAACGGTACTATGGCAGCCACTATAGTCTTAGAACACAAGATAGGAAGAGTTACGAGTTGGGAATGACTCCCAGCTCCTACAAACCCCAAGAGCCGAGGTACAGTGATGTGTAACAGTGCCACACTGTCCCCAACCACGAAGGGTCTCGAAACTACCCTTCACTAGGGCCTACACCAAGTGAAATGTTACACTACACAAAGTAATGTAACTATCTTCAATATCTTGAGGTGTACCCTTTTGGCAAGCTTCGAAATCACTTGAGGCTTGACACCAAGGCTCGGGCTCTTCATCACAAACTCATCCTTGAGTTCTTGATGGGTCTGCTGCACACACCTGCGACACGCCGAACGTTCGACACAGGACAAAATAGAAACCGCGCACGACAAAATAGAAACCGCGCGCGAGACACAAACGACCGCGTAACACGCGTCTAGCGATAACTCGCTATTGACTCGACACACACACTCGACATCATGACTCAACATTCACACACAATTATAAGCATGAAATATATATTATCCCATGCCCTCATACCATTCCATACACACACACATTCACGCACACGGACAACAAGCCGAGTGCAAACCGTAGGGTTGCACCAACAAACTCCCCCTCGGATTGTTGGCCTTAGGATATGTTGCTCTCTCAGTTCAGAGCCATCCCAGCCAGCTTGCAACACTTCCAATGCTGCTGCTCCACCAGCCTCTTGGTCATCATGTCAGCCGGCTGCCCCGTGGTCTTCACGTAGCGCAACTCAACTTCACCCGCGGCTACCATGCTCCTCGTCCAATGCCACTTCACCCTCATGTGCTTCGTGAGTCCATGCAACACAGGGTTCTTAGCAAGAGCAATGGCACCCTGGCTGTCACAGTACAGTGGGGTAGTTCCTTGCTGCTCCTCCCCCAATTCAGCCAACAAACGCCGCTGCCACACAATCTCCCGTACGGCACGGAAGAGTGCCATGTACTCGGACTCCACCGAGCTCAAAGCTTGGTTAACCTGCTTCTTGCTCTCCCAAGCAGTTGGGCCTCCACCAACACAGCATATGAAGCCCCCCACACTTGTCATGTCCTCTGGTTCTGATGCATATGAAGCATCCGAGTAGGCGGTGAGGAACAAACGCCCGGGTTCAACACCATCCGCGCCCTTTTGGCGCCTTTGTGCCGCCGCCGAGTATTGCAGCCCAACGGTCGGTGTTTGGCCAAGATACTTGGCCACCCTCATTCCAGCTGCTACCTGCTCCTCATTAGGGCATTGCACAACCCTAGCTAGCTGCCCGGTAGCAAACGCGACGTCCGGTCGGGTGTTTACCGCCGCATACATGAGGCTGCCCACCAACGAGTGAAATTGGCGCCTCTCCTCTTCACCAACGCTCTCCTCCTCTGGTCCCTTCACACACTTGAACCCAGAGGGAAAGGGTGTAGCCACATGGCCTTCACTCTGCCCAAAGTTGGCAGCCAATGCCTCCAGGTACTTTCGTTGATGCACCCGCATGCACCTCTTCTCCACATCTCGTTCGATGTGGAGCCCAAGGTAGAAGCTCACGTCACCAAGGGCCTTGCACTTGAACTTGTCTTGAAGCTTCAGCATCACCTCCTTCACAAGGTCAGAAGAGGGTGAGAAAATGAGGATGTCATCCACATAAACCACCATGAAACTCCTCTGCTCCCCCTCGCCAAGCATGAACAAGGAGTGATCGGCCGTTGAGGGAGTGAAGCCGATCCCCTCCAACACTTCGCGCAGCTTCATGTACCATTGCCTAGGGGCCTGCTTCAGCCCATAGAGGGCCTTCTTCAGCTTCCACACTCTGCCACTACCATCATCAAACCCCTCTGGCTGCGCCATAAAAATCTCCTCCTCAAGGATGCCGTTAAGGAATGCCGTTACGATGTCCATTTGCTTTACTACCCATCCTTTGATGGCGGCCCCCGCGAATAGGGTTCGCAGCGTCGTCGGCTTCACCACAGGGGCAAACAGCTCCTTGAAGTCCACCTTCTCCTTCTGCTGGTACCCCTTGGCTACAAGCCTAGACTTGTAGCGCTCGATCTTGCCGTCGGCATCCGACTTGATTCTGAAGAGCCACTTGGACGTTATCGCCGTACGCCCCTCCGGTAGCTCCACCAATTCAAACGTGTCATTCTCCTCGATGCTCTTCAGCTCACTCTCCATGGCCTTCTTCCACTCCTCAGCATCACTACTCTCCAAAGCCTCCTTGAGAGTTGCTGGTTCTCCCGGCATCTCCACCGGAGAGAAGAACGCGAAGGCACACTCCTCGTAGTCACTCTCCTCGTCGTCTCCGACCATCATTGCCGCTCCGGCCAGGGCTGTCTTGCCCTGCTTTCCCGGCGCATCATAGGTCAGCCTATTAGGGGGTTGAACTCTCCTCTTCCCCCTTCCTTCCTCCTCAGCTGCAGGGACTTGAAGGCCTTGGCGTTGCTGCGGTGTGGCTCGAATCCGTGGAGCACTCGTAGTACGGGAAGGGAGTGACGGTGCACGCTCGCTCACTTGCTGCACCTCCTCCTCTTCTTCCTCTGCATCATTGGCCTCCTCTCCCCCATTCACAAGGGAGGATTGCCTTGTGGTTGTGCTGCCGCTGCTCAGCTCCAAAGGCAGCTCCACATGCTCCAAACCGGAACTCTTCACCTCCCCAAACCGCACGC